AAGATATGAAGAATGACTTTGTTTACCATATAAAGCGGCAGTATAGCCAAAAATACAACCACTACACATCAGAGTTTAGCGATGCACATTTTTACGACATTCGTAAGGAAATGACATTTTGGTCTCTGGAGCAAACATAGAGTCTTTTGGGGCCAACAGAGTGAGGTCTTGAAACTTCGACCTCCGAGTAAATATCAATTGATTCACTTTACCAACCGTCACCAATAGGCAATACCCGATAGGTTACATAGGTTAAAGCCTACCAAGGTACCAGATTTCCGATGTGCCTGTACTGATTGCCTACTCACTATGCCTAGTATCCAAACAACCGCCTAGTAGATCGTCTAGTCGCTTAGAGGAATTGCCCTTCTATGTTTGGAGTATCAGTCTCAGTAGTAAAGTACCGTATACATTACTTAAAAGAAAAAGAAAGGAGACAACCGAAGACCAAATAAGCAGCTTTTATATACTAGGGCCACTGAGAAGAATGAAGCATTAAATGGGATTAAAACTGAGTTTTGAATAGCTACTGGCTACACCAATTGTAAATTCTTATCATATAAAGCGAAGTTTTAAATACATCATGCATTTCGTCATTGGATATCAATGTTGACATAAATCTATACACAAGAGATTTTTCTGCTAAGCCGTCCAAACAAAGTCTACCAGTCTACCAAACCGGACCATGTTGAGCCGTCGTTGCCATATTTACGGTATGCATGCTGCATGAGCCACAGCCTCACGATGTTGCACGGAATTTGAATGGCAAATTGCAGCACATGTCACATTTCGAGCACGCAACGGGGAATTCATTGTTGTGCCGCGCCCGAGCGAGGCGGTACTATGGCGGAATTTATGAGCAGGATATAAAGTTGAGGAGTTGTGGTGTTATGAAATAAATCAAGTAAGCTTCTAATGAAAAATATAAAAGCTTGGTTCAACCTTATCAACATTTAAACAAATTCCGAACTAGAAAGCATAAAAGCGTCGTTCTAATTCGTGCAATAACTAAAGTAGGTGCATACATCCTGTTCAGCATACTTTTTGTGTGTGTATCTATGGCAACAGTAGCTTCAAATAGACCGATGGAGGTAGCCTGGGGCAGCATGTGGGCATTATATTCTAACTGATGTGCACAAGCACCCATTATCGAAATGGATACTATATTTTCCGAGTTGCGGCCGCGTACAGACGCGATATTTTCAGCCACAGCCGGACGCTGCCCAGCCAGTAAGTAAGTGGCTTTTATCCATGCTGAGTCACATCGATCAGCTCCAGTTTCTCGAGCGATGGGCTGGGCAGCCGGCTCCCATTTCGAGCGTCAGCTATCGATGACGGCGATACTGGATGACTGAAAGATGATGAAATAATGAAATGCTCATCAATATCTTGATGCATCAATACATTAAGGCGCCAGTGAGATGTATGTACCTGAAATAATACCTATGCAAAAAAAGATGTGCAAAGTGATAACTTAGTCGCGTACATCTAAAGAAAACGCTTTGAAAATTGATCAAATAATGCTTTTTTATATTACTTAAGTCATGAGGCATACACTGCTTAAAATGATCAGATTATGACATTTTGACAAAAATCATGAGGTAGAGAGCATTTAAAGAAATTGTAAGTTTTGTTAAAAATAAAATGGCGACGTGTTTGATTGCAAGCATTAAACATGAAACTTATATAAAGCAGATAAAAACCTAGCTTACATACAACAGCCAATGTAGGCAGTCTTCGCCACTTCCAAGCCACTTAAAAGCCCAAAGCAGATAAACTACTAAATAGAACGGCCTTCCAGCACAGACAAACGCCCCGTCGCCGAGGTCGCAGGTGTCACCGGACCCCTGATGTGGCCAAATTCGCCGCTGTTGTGCCTCTCCGCGCGCCGAGGGAGACCGGTGAAGACGCCGCGTGTGCGGAGAGGTAGCGCCCAACCGGGCCGGGCCGGGCCCGCCTATCGACCTGGCACGGGACGGCGCGGCGGCTGGCAGCGTGCCGCGAGCCGGCCGCGAGCGAGCGACCGCGCGCCAGTCTGCCGCCGCCGCCGCCGCCGCCGCCGCCGCCGCCGCCACCAGTGACCTGTCAGACGCCGCCGCCGCCACCGCCGCCGACAGGAGGAGCAGGACAGCTGGTGGAACCAGGGAACGGGAGAGCAGTGCGAGATACAACCTTCGGTGACCGGTGAGCTAGGGACAGGATCTGGTGATCGGGATCGTCGAGTACGTGACCGCAGCCGGGCTGACCTGTCCCGGTAGAACTTCATTGGGATTGATATGCTCGCGTGACCAAGGAGCTATAGAGTCTAATCTCGATTTCTGAACGCTTGCGTGATGGAGATTAACCGAAATGTGATGAAGACGCCGTGCGAAATTGAGCGTGGTCGTATTATGATACAGCGGGTCGCATGTGACGAGGATTTCACATACATATTAGTACATAGATAAGCCGATTTATCAAGCGGTAGTGGGCAATATTCCACGGTATTTGAGCCTAATGAAAAGTCCATGTCGCCATTAGGCGGAAAATGGCTTACCGTGGGACGATTAAAGTGACTTATATTTTCTGAAATGTTACAATGCTCAGTTGTTGAATTGGAGCGATTACTTCCGTTTTTTTTTTATAAATGAGAACTCTCGACGTTTTCAAATTAGATTCATGCATCCTATTGCAATATTGCATGTTAGGTATGCTTAATGACAAAAAATTAATACATAAAAAATGTGTGTTTCTGGTGACAACTAGTGCTAAAAAATGTCTACCTGCGTGGCCTTTCAACAGTACACAACCATTCGTATTCTTGATATGCAGCAAAAATAAGTATCTTCTAACTAGATAAGATCTGTCTGAGACGTACCATTTTTGCTCTCTTTTACGTAGTAATATGAACTCCTCCGTCTAATTTTAAAATGGCATAGTTGAATGCCCCTCCCTTTGCGGATGTTGGCTATTTCTGAGTTGGATAAGACGGTGGAGTGGTGTTATGAAACGTTATACAAGCATTTCCAACCCAGGTCCTCTGAGCTAGAAAGAAGGGAATTAGGTTTTAATTATGCAAGATTTCAGCGTCAATTAGCTTATTTTAGTGGCCCTTCACAAACAATTATTATATGGTTTAGGCCTTCTTTTGATCATTTGCGAGAGTAAGGAAGCCAATAAAGAGTTCAAAGACAACTGCGAATGATGATGATGGGCTAATTATTTCCTTTTTCCTCCCGCCATCTCAGTCTCTCTGTATGTCGTGTGTGCCTCTGAATGGTCGCTCAGACATGATACTGACTGGATACCCTGTCGACATGGATGAGCTATACTCAGGCCGACGCCGTGTGCCCTCGGTGGACCTTGTTACTCCTGTGACCTACTCTGACCAGGGCGGGCGCTCGGTCTCAGGGCTTCCGTTTAGCGTGGGACCACCGTGGGCTATAACAGGCTTACCTGGGAACTTGGGAAGGGAAGGGGGAGGGATCTGGCAGAAAGGTGACGGCCGGGAGAAGGCACGCTAGCAACAGAAAGGGCCAGTTTGTATCCGCTTAGACCTTCAACGGCCTACGCTTTGATGTTCATTTGTATTTACGATCGTGGGCGATCCACACATGGCGTGGCGATTACTACCTTGAGATAGACTTATTTCGCAATGCGACACACGATTCAGTCCAGCAGTATGATATATTCCACAAATGACTCACTAGGCAAGGCGATCAGCTTCTCCAGGCAATCGGCATTCCTTAAGCTTAAGTTAACACGGGACAAACAAGCGTTTTGGAAAGCGTGGATGAATATCAAACACCTGGAGGACTTTATAGCGTAAAGATGAAGCCTGTCGTCAATATCTTGCATCGTAACCACAAAATTCACTTCCAGGGTGTTTGTCTTCGACATATTGAATACTTATTAAAGATGTTATGATGAAAAATAGGCTACTAAAAGCGTTTCATGCCAAGTTTTATCCGCGTCGCCAAACTTCTGTCAGCGTCTTTATGTTACGTGTGGCTCCATTTATTAATCAAACCGAAGCCACGTTGGTTGTTCCACCTTCAAATACTCTGTCCCCAACCAGCTGACTACAAATCCAATAGGTCAGAGTGAAGGGCGCAGTGTGTTCACCGTGCTCTTTCCCACGGGTCGGGCGGCTCTGACCGACTGACTGAGGGGGCGGGGGCGGGGCGGGTGGGAGGGGCGGCTCATTATTGGTGGGCGGGGCGCTGCGTGCCTCGGTCCGGTTCGGCGACGTCGCCGGGACGTACCGACTCGGTCGGAATCATCAGAATCGAATCAGACCTCCCCGGGGCCCGCGGTTCCCCGAACGGTCCTACCGAGCCACCCACTCCCGCTCCCTGACATCGCTCACTCTCTCTGCGCGGACCCTCCTCCCCTGCTCTCTCCCTGTCCTCGACCCCCGTCCCGCGCCATCGATAGCTGTCGTCTGCTGTTGTTCGCTCTCATATCCGGATGTTCTGCCCCAACGATTGCCACCCATCACACATGTCACATCGATATCGGGCGCCTCTTTCGTATTTATAATAGATTATTTACGCCTCCACGTCATTTAAGCCAGATTTGACGTAGTTGAAGACACTGGTAACCGACAGGTAGCGTCAATTTCACTCCGGAATCCCCGCTTATTTCATAAACCATCGGACCGCGGCTCTCACAGCTTCCCGTCAGCCCTGGTGCAGACAGAAGCACCTTATTGCCTTCATCGTCACACACTTCAGTCAGCTCATCTCACTCCCTTCACTGCTCATTCCTCCCTCCCTCCCTCTCTCTTTATCTCTCTCTCTCTCTCTCTCTCTCTCTCTCTCTCTCTCTCTCTCTCTCTCTCTCTCTCACTGACCCTCTTCTATGCCTCTCTCTCCATAGGCATTTCCGTTTCTATTTTGTCTGTCTTTTGGTCTCAGTTCTCTCTTCTCCTCTCCGTCTCTCCCTCTTCCTCATCTCCTCTCTCTCTCTCTCTCTCTCTCTCTCTCACCCTCCCTCTCACACTCCCCTCTCTCCGGCAGGGCCTGCTGAGGACGCTGAGCTGACTGCAGCGGCCACCAAGATCCAGGCCTCGTTTCGTGGTCACCAGGTGCGCAAACGACAGAAGGCTGAGCGGACCATGGCGTCTGCCACGGACGATATCGACCTCACCGACCCAGGTCAGCGGGGAGGGGATGGTGGGGATGGGGGGGGGGGGGGGTCAGCAGCCGGGCTTTGTGAGTAGAGATACGGTGCGCTAAGTGTGAGACATGTGGCGCATCGCAGTTAGGGTTCATGGGTTGGGTAGAACGCGTGACAAGGAAGAGTATAAGAGTTATGAATCAAAGGTGTAAGAAAAGGCGCTCCAGATTTATTTGTTGTGAGTTCGTTGGAAATGTTACGGCAGGAGTGACAAGAAGTGCTTTGTAGCTTATGTGTCTTGGGGCTAAAGCCATCAGTTGTGACCATAAGTTGTTGCCCATAAATTGTGCGACACAAGTAGGCATGCGAAAACACTCTCTCATTGGAATATTGGAAGCAAGCTTATTTGTCTCCAATTTGGGAAGAAATGCACCGATATCTGACGCCATCGGTTTCAAATCACTGCCATCCGTCCCAAATCAAAACCCTCATAGAACAATTTAGTTTCATCAATATCAGTCAGTCACGAACCATAAATCTCTAGGTCCTGAACTGCAGTCACGAATCAGTGCCAAATAAAACGAATTCCACACACGCTCGGCTGTCATAATGTTTATACAGACTAAGACATTTGCCGAAGAGCATATGCCATCTGTTTTCGTTCAGCCGATTCGCTTCTCAATCTGGAAATGTCAGATGCACTGGGATGTGAGTGAAATGCCGAATGGCTGTTGACACAAGGTTTATAACAAAGTTGCGCGATCCTGTTCTTCTACAGTGGGATTGCATTTTCCTGAGTTGTTCAGCCCTTTTATGTTGCACAGCAGCGCAATATCACATTGAGATTGCTTCTTCTTACATATAGACAGTAGAGAAATAGTGTACGACTTTTCTCATAGTTTTTCTTTATTGTTTTTACGTCCTTAGTTTTCAGTTTCCAAGTTGCATTCCGTCTTGATTTGTTACTTTGTGTGCTAACTTCAACTCAGCATTTTGGCAAAGATATCATGCATTTGTGGCGTTTTTTCCAAAGTTATTTTTCAAATATTGCCCGACTCCAGAGACGTATTTTGCTCAATTAACTACAACGCACAGCACATTTTTTTTTCGTGTCCCACCGTTTACACCATTTATCACCGTACGCTGCACACTGGTCGGAAACGCCCTCACGAGAGGCCATGGGCGATTCCGGAGTTTCGGATTATTTTTTATATAGATCGATTTGAAATTGATCAAATTATTATACTTAGGCCAAAAAAACTAATCCGGGTGACCAAAAATAGCTGTAATCAGCCCCCGAAGATGGGGTATCCCAGAACTCGGAAACTGACGCGGAGCAAGAGGTTTCTTGAGCCGGATATTCAGAGTCTTATTGCTGATAGACACCAAATTGAAATCCCACATATTATGCATCAAAATGTTCGTTATGAAGTTGCCGACTGGTCAGTGCAAAATTTTTGGTATACTTTTTCCCTAACTAAGATGTACTATAGCTTTTTTATGAAGGCTCTCCTACAGTGATTCTGGAATATAACTGCAAAGTTTAGGTAAGGAAACAACAGGTAGTCCCATCTAGTTCCACTCTGATTTTTTGTGAGATGAAGTAGGATTTAAATTTACACCAGGGCAACATAAAAGCTAACTGCGCATATTTGCGCAAAATTTGCAGGAGCCGCTCTTCCTACCCAAGTACCGCCCGCCCCGCCCCAGTTTCGGCTCGGCCGCCGCGCCCGGCTTACGCTGACCTGTGTGGCCTGCACGCATCCATGCGTAGTTGACTGGTCATTAAAAACAGATGCGCTTGAGCTTATGAATTTTGTGAAAAGCGCGTTTTATGTATGCATTTATGTATGTATTGACATCAAAAGCCTTCCACATATTGCGTGGCGATTACGGCTTGCATTTAGAGAGCCTTGCTATTGACAACCATCACTCGGCTGAAGAAAGTGGAAATTGAAACCTTTGTGAATATAAGACGCTGCAAATATAGGACACCTGTCACTGACGTCGGGTTACCTTGGGCCGTCTTTTTACATTAGATCACAATTCCGGTATTTAACCCTGGCCGGACCGATTGGTTTTCTACATTGACCGGGGAGGGTTGGTACAACTCCCTCGCCGTTTCGCCTCTAACTGAGCTAGAGCCTCGCGGAAAAAACAAGCTTGTGTGCCGTTATAAGACGCAAAAATTAGGTACTACCCGATTTTAAGGTCTTAGGTCAGCCAGTGACCTCTTAGGTCAGGTAAGTGCCACAAGGCACGGACTCGGTTTTAGGTTAATTACTTTGCCAAAAATGGTCGCACTGCCGCGATTTTGGCATAATCGTGTTTGTCTAGCTCAGGCGCGTTGAATGCTATACTTGGTTTTCGGGTGAAGTCAACTTAACTCTCGCCGGCACAGGCCATTTTGCGTCCTTCGACGGCACAAGGGGGGGGGGGGGGTTGGTACGACCCCGTCGCGTTTGGCCCCTGATCGAGCTAGAGCCTCGCGTAAAAAAACGAGCGTGTTGCCCGTCACGAGAGGAAGCCGATGATACCCAATTTTAAGGTCCTAGGTCATCGGGTGACCTTCCAGGTCAGGTCAATGACCCGAAAACTGGGAAAATCGGGACCTGTTAGAAAGTCGTATATTGTGGCTGCTATGTGGTTTTCCGGGGTGCTGATCACGAATATCGTATTAGTTTTGATCAGAGATGATGTCTTTAAGCATTTAGACCAGGTCGGGTCAGGTCAGGTCAGGTCAACCGGTAGGGGTTGTGACGGGTATTCGTAATACGTGTCAACCGCCTCTGACAGCTTCGTAACATGCTACGAAGGCGCCAAAACTACTTCGTAAATGTTCAAATGGTTGCTGAATTAGAATTCAGCTCCAAAAGCTAGCCTAAAAACATGTAAAACTCGAAAAAGTGAACCGAGGTCACCCGAGGTCACCAATGGTCAATGACCTGACCTGACCTTCAGGTGACCTTGACACCCATCCTAATGTATGGGAGCAACATCAAATCACATGTTTGAACGTTTGAAACCACGAAAAGCTTGCAAACGCGCGGCTAATGTGAGCCAACATACGCCGAATCGCGATTTCGGCCAAACATGGTCACGGAAAAGAGGTCACAGGTCAAAGGTCATTAGGGTCAGGGTCATGAAATTTTCAGGGTAGGTGTAAAATTGATCAATGCGAGGGTACTGAAAGTTTCGTCGCGATCGGCCGCTTTTTACGCGAGTTATTTGCGAAAAACCTTAGGGGGGCTGCATCAACCCCCCCTGTGCCGGCGAGGGTTAAGGTGTTAACCTCGGGTCAAGGTCAGGTCGGAGCCCCTCAGGTCACGAAAATGGTTGAAGGAGGTCATATCGCATATCATTCGATTCGGCAGGTCTTCCTGAGTCCAATGGTGGCTTTCACGACTCTCTAGCTCCATCTGATCAGGAGTTATTGACGAAAAACTTACATGGCCTTAGTGACGTCATAAATGACGTCACGCAAAGTCAACAATGCTAAAGTCAAGCACTGGACCTTGCAAGGAGTGCATGAAACCATTCCCGGTGCCCGAATAGCAGCTCCCAATTTCCCTTGTTGACTTAAAGTGGTGCTAGATCCTGTATTATACTCAACTATGACGTCATAACTTAACAGATTCACGTCATATATTTAGTGCTTGACATCCAAATGATAGCTTACATATGACAGAGAAGGTATGCAAAGTTTTATGAAGTTTGCTTCACTAGTTGTGGAATAACAAGCAAAAAACTTTTGCGGAAAGGCCGCTGGCCTCTCGCTGGAGCGTTTCCGACCAGTGCACTATGGTTGGAAACGGCCTCACGGATGGCCGTGGGCAATTTCGGAATATATGTATATTTGGGGTGTCATTCTGTTGGAAATTGATGAAATGTTTTGAATAGGGCAAAAAAATTTATTTAGTTGCACATTTAGTCTCCATTATTGTACGTGGAATCGGGAGTTTCTGATAGTGGCTTTTTTGGTGCGCCGTCAAAGGTTTAAACAACCGCGCTGGTGATAGCATGTGGAGTACCTCCATGACGTTGTAAAACTGGATTATTATGTATCAAAATAATCCTTGTTATGTTGGCTATCGAGTGGAGTGACTCTTTTTCCCATGCGTGTTCAAAATCAGGAACGGCATTGCATTCTGTTTGCAGTGTCACCACAGCAATATTTGCAAAATTACGTTTATGTTTCATTGGACATACAAAAAGTTCTCCATCGACCTCCATTGAGCTTTTTGGCAGAATAAATCTCTGTTCAATTCTGCGTAAGGGGAACGTAAAAGCAGACTGCGCACTTGTGCGCAAAATCGTCCGTGAAGCTTCATCTCCCGAGGCGTACCTACCCGTCGCTTCGTTAGCACCAGGTCGGCTCGTCAGTCTTGCAATCGCTTATCCTTATAAATGATGGTAAGAAGCAGGGTTGCGGAGTCGTGGTGGCGCCAAATCCGACTCCGACTACGACTCCGACTCCTGACTCGTTGCCATGACTCCAGCCAACTCTGTCTCCGACTCCGGACCCCTGCCAGTGTTTCGGAGTCGTGATGGAGCTGTTCCGATTCGGACCGACTCCGACTTCCACTGCGGGCTCCTGACCGACCCCGACTCCGACTCCGACTCCTGGCTCGTTGCCACGACTCTGGGCGACTCTGACTCCGACTCCGACTCTGACTCCGACTCTGACTTCGACTCCGCACCCCTCGTAAGAAGTAACTGCTCGCCCCTGCACCTGGAGTATGGATATCGTGCAAACGTGTATGGATATCCTGGAGTATGGATATGGATATCCACCGACAGAGCAGACATACAGACATGCTGTAAACGCCATTACACTGCCAATACCATGGCAAATCAAATGGCTATCTATGGTTTTTGATCATCGTTCTACATTTTCCAAAATCTTGAACTGAATGTTGGCAATTTCTCGTGGTTACTTCACGACCATGATGCATGCATTTCTGAAATTGATCTTTTTTCAACCAGCCACGTACTCGTATGATAAAATGAATGTCACCATCGTGTTCTACGCCCAAAAGTACCCATAAAACATGTGTCATGCATGGGCTGCGAATAGGTACCAGTTTTAATTTTCGGGGTTATGTGCTTACCTGATTGACCTGACTTTGACCCTGGCCAGTGGCCTATGTTTGACTGACCCCTACATTGATCTGACACTCTTTTAGCACTTATATGAAGGGTTGTGACAGTTGTGACAGCTGTGACAGATTGTTTAGGACCAACTGATGACTGAATTTATTTAGGACCAACTGATGACGATGTAATCGAAACGCGAAACGCGAGGCACCGATTGCGAGGTTCTAAAGTCCATGCTACTGAAAGCCCGATTTCAAGTGTTTGACCTGACCTTGACCCGACCTGTGACCTCGAAATTCAACTTTAAAGTATTCATGTGAATCGTCTCGTCGCGTTCTTCTTTCGTTTGCCGCGCCTCGTGCGTTTCGCTGCGCCTATTTGTTCGCGAGTTATCGGCTGGGGGCGTTGAACGCCCCCCCCCCCCCGGCAAACGGCGGATGGGGAAATACCCCAGCAACTACCGGGTTAATCTGACGCATGTTTTGTCATTTGATCGTCATTTTATTTCTTACTTTTTTGCCCAATCTAAAAAAATCATAAATACTCTTTCTCCAAATTTTTGACCCTTTATGACCAATAGTAAGACACTGTGCGTCACTACGTTGATATTTCTCGCCCTAAAGCATAACAACAATATCCATTCAGTAAAAGCAGTATTCAAAACATGTTCAAAATGCCTCGCGATATCGATAACATAACGAAAGACATAGGCGACTTATAACATACTTGCAATGATGACGTCACACACGCGTGACGTGACGTGACCTCGTCATTTCTGAGTTACTGTATGATGCACGAAAGACACTGGTATACCTATGCAAAGTTTCATCGCAGTCGGTCTACGCATTAACCCGCGCGGGGCTGGGGGGGGGTAAATTTTACCCCCCCTCGCGAATTTTTGCGATATCTCAAAAACGGCGGCGCGCAGCGCCGCCAAACTTTCAGTACCTTTTCTTACATCAATTTGACACGTTCCCTGAAATTTTGAGCGAAATCCGTCGGAAAATTTTTGAGAAATTGACGTTTTAGTGACGTCATGTTCGCCATTTTCGCCTCAAAAACGGCAAAAGTTCAAACGCCGCTAACATCTTCATTTTTAAAGGAATCAAGACGTAACAAAAAAAGGTTATACGTAATTTTACTTTGTCTATCAAATGGCTATCTCGGTTTTTTGAAAATTTTGGATTTTGGGCTAAATTTTTTCAAAAAACTGACTTTTTTGGGAGAATCATTATAAAATCCAAAATTTTGAGTCTATCGAAAAAACCGGAATATATGTCAGAGAAGTGGTCTATGTGCACCTACATACCAAATTTTAGAAGAATCAGTTCAAAAATGTGGAAGTTATTCAAAATTTGATGACGTCACGACACACAATTTTTTTGAAAAATGACTTTTTTGGAAGTTCTAGACCTCGTACGGAAACAAAAATAGCACCATTCGATTCGCCGTGAAAAACTGCATCAGATAGACACCTTTTTAGGCCTTAACAACCAACTTCAAAATTTGACCTCACTTGACCTGACCTTGACCTGACCTCGACCTGAAATTCATCCAGAGGTGGTCCATATCACTTATTGAGTGTGCCTATTGAATTCTATGAGTAAAATGACCCATAAAACATGTGTCGCACATGCCCTTTTCTATATTTTGTTTTTTGGTGACCTGACCTGACCTGACCTGACCTTGACCTTGACCTCTGAATGATATTGTATGCAACGAATATTGTCTTGGTAGCCTAAGAACACGTTTTGGGCGATCAGTCTCAGTCCATGACTCCATTCTTCGGCAACTACGGTGCAAGGCCGATACTGTAGAAACTTGCAATTTGTACCCTTGACCTGACCTTGACCTTGACCTCAAACTTAAAATTAAGTACATGTTTTTAGTAGTTCGTGATGAGAGCTTTCGATTGGCGTTTGAATTTTCCAAATCGGACCATTAGTTCGGGAGATAACAGGGGGGGTAAAATTTACCCCCCCCCCCCAGCCCCGCGCGTTCGGCTGGAGACCCCAGCCCCGCGCGGGTTAACAAGTTATGGGCAAAACATTTTTTCGCGTTGACCCCCGGCCATCCGTGAGGCCGTTTCCAACCATAGTGCAGTGTGCGCTGTTCGTTTCAAACACACTATTGTCACCTAGCTTCCCACAAATTATCCCCCAAACCAGGGCTGCGGAGTCGATGGATTTACGGCGACTCCGACTCCGACTCCGACTCCAGCTTTCAAAAACCAACTCCGACTCCGACTCCGACTCCGGGCAGAAATGTCGACTCCGGTCAACTCCAACTCCCGACTCCGACTCCGCACACCTGGCAGGGCGGCGGAGTCGACAGATTTTCGGTGACTCCGACTCCGACTCCGGCTGGGGTTTCCAATATCGACTCCGACTCCGACTTCGACTCCGGTCAAAACTGTCGACTCCGACCGACTCTGACTCCGACTCCGACTCCGACTCCGCAGCCCTGCCCCAAACACAGCACCGTTAATACATGCTCTGGCCACATCAGCTGGGATGATCCCGTCGGTCACGCCACGACTCTGCTCCCTCGCGTCGGTGGCAGATTGGTCTGTCTCCCGGACGTCATCATCGCCCCCGATATCTGTTAGCGTTAACACAACACTAAGCGCGATGGGACCGATATGGGACCGATATGGGACAGCAACCGGCGACCAATGCGACGACGCGATACTAAGAAGCAAGTATTCCACAGAGAGGGTGCATCCTATGCCCCCGTCAAATATGAAGCTGGTTGGTTCCAGGTAAGAGGCATTCAGTTACCCATTATATGGGATAGTAATTAGTCTGTAGCCAAAGCTAACCCTCTCGCTGTCCCGTGCTGTTTGCCCTGCAGAGCTGAGCGCAGCCGCCACCAAGATCCAGGCCACGTTCCGGGGACACAGGGTGCGGAAAGACGAGGTCATCCAGAAACGCGAGCAGGAGCTCAACGACCAGATGGAGAAGCTGCACACAGACGTGAGCGCTGGCGAGGACGAGCCGTGACCGCATCCGTTTAGCCGTGACCGTACCCCATATAGCCGTGACCGTACCCCAGAGAACCGTGACCGTACGCCTTATAGCCGTGACCGCATCTCTGTCGAGCCGTGACCTCATCCCGGATAGTAGAACTGCATGGGCTGGCCGTGCTGCAGCCTGGTTGTCCTGAACGTTTTGTTGTAGATCGGTTGTGCTGATGTCGGGTGCCTTTTATCTTTTTATCCGATGTTTCAAACATTTTGGTGTAAGAAGAGAATTAATGCCTTTCGATAGCATGCAATGACCCTCCATAATATGGAAATTATTGTCGAAAGATGTGCGGGCATCGCACACATAGCCATTGTAGTACATACGATAGGATTCCTCTGTAGAAGTCAGTTTTCCCTACGTGAATAAAGGTATCTAGGACAATGGAGAGCTTGCATGACTGTCGCCATAGGTCGTGATTCGCATGACCGTCGCATTCCTGATTGTGTTTGCATTAACTCTTTGTAGGCACTGCACCGGATAATGATGGTATTGAGTTGCGTTAAGACATGTGTTGAACCCTGATCGTGTGGCTGTGCTGTGTAGAAGGCGCCGTATTAGAGTTTTGCATGCTCTTATTTGGTAGTGAATGCCGCGACTTTACTGTGTTACATGTTTATAGCTCAAGTGATTAATTATTTGTTCAAAGTCAACATATCACCATTATTGTTTTGCTACGGCTAAATGATATCCATTTTTATGCATTTGGTAAACCAAAAATATAAACACTTATTTGGTATTTGGTATGTCTTAACCTGACACTTCCGCGCATTCGCTGACGCCACAGCGACCGTTTTGCTTTGAGAAGAGCCATGCGGCGCAGCATAACAGCCAGGCGCGAGCATCTGCTGCCATCTATTGGAAGCAATACAACTAAGAGATAATGAAAGTAATGATCGCAAAGGTGTATGGATTCCCTAATACAATCGCTACACAAGCGGTAAACCTGATATAAATGTAACCTAAAAGCAAACGTAGGATGCAATGCAAACGCAACATAATGCTCCAGATGCAAATATACCTACGAGTACCCACCATGAATCTTCACTTCACGGTGTTCAGTCGAAGGAAAAATGGTTGATGCTGAAAGTTCACCTTGGATTGAAATAAATTGGATTGAAAAGAATGTCTTAAGTGTGCTACGGCATTCATCCATTTATCCAGTGACCATGTATAGTCTGCAATGCACGGGGCACAAGTTCAGTTCAACCGTTTAAAAAAAGTATCAAAGAATTGAATGTCTTTCCTCGTCGCTCCGATCCAGTGCGTTTGCTCAGGTACCTCGCATTGCTTTGTGTCATTACTTATGACAACAAATAATGATAAATTCATTTCAACAGGAACAATTAAAAGCTAAGAAAACAAACCCAGTGTGCAAAAATAATTTCGCCACCAATATCATCAACGATCGCAGTTACCAGGTAGCGTTACGATAAAATCAAACTGAAGTTAATAAATCGTAACTTTTTCGGGGACCAATCATCAACTTTGATGTAGCGCGGCATGCAAAATTAGTTACCTTTTTACGTAACTTCAGAAATCACAATTATGGGTCGCTGCCGGTGTGCGATAGATGCGTGGGGGTATCCAGTAAAGTTCAACATAATTTACTTAATTAAAAAGTGTTATGTAATGCAGGCAGCCGGTCGAATGCGACGTGGCGCAGAAAAATCGACAAAATAGCCATCAAACACTGCTTATAAAGTTTAAAGTCTCTAAAGTCAACCATACTTTGGCAGCAGCGGAAGCTCTCGCGATCTACTAACACGACTTGACACTATGCATCTCAACTCGGGGAGCGCTGAGGAAAACTCTCCATCACTCAGGAGATGAAATGAGAGACGGTGATCGGGATGAAAATATAGTCGGTCATACCATGTCAATGAAAAAATGTACTCGTATACGAGGATGTATAAGTAATTGCTGGTCTTACCATTTACATAGCTGTAGTAGGGGAGTCATTAATGCTAGTGGAATGTGATATAAAACCAACATATAAAATTAACGTTAGCTTACGATTACGAACACTCGGATGACTCGCAATCGATAACTTTTGCATATCCTTATTATTTGATGAAAAGGGTTTCTGGGGTTTTCAAGGGTTTTCATTTTTGTGATATTCGAACAGGTAAATGGAAGCCACAAATGTTATGCTGTATAAAAAATTAACATAATCCACGACGCCCATTCGAGGTGCATCATAGAAACGTCACTTTGATCTTTGAAGGTAGGTGCATCCAATATTTATTATGCAGTTGTAACCTATTTATAGTATTTTATTTTGATGTGAGTAGACTTGTAATGGCATCGTGTGGCATGCTTCGGTGCAATATACCTTTTTTAGAACTATATTGATGTGCATGATCAACTGCGAGTGCTATGCATTTTCATTTTGGTACATTTTTTATCAAAAGAAGATGCCACGTCTATACAACAGGCCTGGAAAAATACAGGCTTTCTGCTTAAATTCTAGTTTGCAAAGAAATAGTGATAGATGTACAGTACAAGCCATCGTTTCTCAATTTCAGTTATAGGACAATAAATTTTCATGCAAGCATATCAAACTTATTGACACCACCTACCTATTCGCCGCAGTTTCTAACTGTTGGTAATGCAAATTTACAGAGCAGCATTAGTATGAACGAGAACTAACAGGAAAAACGCTCTTCTTTCAGGCGCCTAAGGACGAAGAAATTGATATCGATCTGAACGATCCTGAGGTGATGAAAGCTGCCAGCAAGATCCAAGCGTCTTTCCGAGCACAGTTTGGAAAGAAGAAATAGCTGAACTCGTTTATTTGAACCGTAGACCCTTATTGCTGGTATTCGCCTTTCAATAACATTCCAAAAATTCAACCTTGATAATTCATGTTCCCTGTAGGATCTCAATTTAACTCTTCCAACAACTCGAATGTAAATGAAGTACGTAGGTATATTTCCTATCAGCAAGTCCTCAGCATTCCAACGTATGGAGTGTCAGCCTTGTGCGCTGCGTGGCCTTTTTATAAAAAACAAATTGGTAGTACGAGTCCTTAGGCATGAGACAGTTTGTCACTTATTCAGACGAGTACATCTCTGAGATATTACATCGTTATGAAATTGTTGCATAAGAAGTTTGTTACAACAACTGTGGTGCCCGAAACAATAACGATCTGTCTACATATTGTTCCATGTCCTTGATATACCCCTTCTAGGTACTATATTTTCTCCATAGAAATATCTCTCGTTACGGCCCCCTGACCATAGCGGCAATTAAATGACGTGAAACTGAGTATCGTCATCCACCATTTTCAATCCATTTCCAATCCCAATCAGCATAATAAGAGCACTTTTTTTGTAAAGTGCGTCCGTTACAGCTCGAGGAAACGGCTCCTTCACGCGTCCCTATCTTTCGGGTCTCAACGAACAGCGGCGGCATCTCCCTAATTATGACGTCACTGGCCCGAAATGGGACGTCACTGATCTGGGAGCTATGACGTCAGCAGCCCGGAGTGTAATGCCATCAACCCGGAGTGCGGCATCACTGTGACACCACTGAGCCACTGAGTATTACGTCGCTGTACCGGAATAATGACGTCACTGACCCTATGAATTATGACGTCACTGGTTTTCCAGCCCGAGTCCGTGGCCGGCTGCTGACCGGACGGTGTGGTGCGCTGTGCCGCTCGGCCGATACCCCCGTGTGTTCTGCCATGCTGGAAATAAACGCCGACATTTATCGGGGGGACGTCTTTGGCGGTGGCGGTGGTATGAACGGTGGAGCCGAGGTGATTGCTGGTGACGTGCTAAATATAGGATCAGGGTGAGTGTCCGACTCCAGTAGGAGTCGTAGGAGTGTAGGCAGTAGGAGTGACCTGATATTTCAAAGTTTTACAGAAATACTAGTCTTATAATAAATGGAAACGTTTGCAGATGTTCACAACTTAACAAGGAAGATAATGTCATTTTTATTAGCTTTATTCTCATATTTTGGGAGTGAAAAATGATAGAAAACATTTAAAATATATTTTCTAACCTGGCTGTCATCGTTATTTGGCCGAGTCGTGAATCCAAATTGTTGCCAGAATTCCTCGAACATGCATTAAACTTCCGTAACAAATTGTCAAATCGAGGGAAAATCATCTATTTAGTTCGGCCATCGGTGATCGGGCGACACAGCAGCTGCCTTTCATCCTGGAAATCGCGTGCCTGAAGTTTGTTTCATGAAATGGAGGGATAATTATGGTGCATTCCCCAACAAACTCCAATACGACTGGCAAATGATAGCCAGGGAAAACCAATCATATGGAGCGATCTCACAAACACAAATTAAATGCAGCGCAAACAGTAGCGAACTTCTCAACTCTGCACGAATATTGAGTCACTCCTGTCAGTCCCTAGAATGATAAGCACCTTCGTGGAACCTGAGGAGACGGTTTCATAATAGCATAGTCGTAACGCGGTATACTTTACCAGAGATGTCCTTACATAAATCGATTGACATCTTATTGATAAGAAAGTTTTCACGACAGAGCTAACATCAATGTGAATGCTGTAAGCGAGTTCGTTTTTCATTATCCGGATAAATGCATTAGATTGGTGCATCAAAACGGGTATCATAATCATGAGAGATTGATCCAGGAGGCAGGAGGAAACCACAAAAGCGTCAAAAAGGTTGTTAATGGGCTGCAGGACCACCTGGCTACACAAAATATCCGATGGCGAGAGGCGGCATGGGTACCGGTAAGTCAAACACTACGTAGTTAGCTCAGGCAACATGAGCCAGTTCCATTTCCCAGCCTTATTTTTCATTCGGTATGAAAAACTTTAATCTTTGCAAAACGCCCCGATGAAGTCGGAGGCATTTTATTCCTTATCGTTCGCAAACCACCATCGCATCAGTGACACAACAAAGCAAGTCCCCATAGTTTATTCAAAAAGGAATGTTCATTTTAACACGAAATACCCCAGCGTGTGCATTGGTAACCGCTCATCTGGCCAAAAACTGCACCGTTCCGCGCACAGCCACATCTCACTGCTTCTTCTTCTTCTGCTGCTGCTGCACCGGAGAGTCCTCTACCGGCCAGAGAAGGAACTTGAGTGAGCCGATACCGAACGCCAGGGTCTGCAGTAGCCAGAGGACGCGGGTGACGCCGCCGATACCGAGCTTACGGCAGCGCCGGTGAGCCACCACGCACTCCAGACAGTGGATCAGGGGGATAGCGATCAGCCTGCGGAGGGGAAGAAGGTGGGTTAGATACAGCACGTGATGCGAACAGCAGACAGAACCGGTAAAACGCGTCGGAAGGCCGATGTCATGGCCCTCCTGGCGGATAAAAACTTAATAAGCTAAACGGTCCTCTAAGCTCTCAGAGATGATATTTCAATTATATTGTTGCATTAAGTGCTCTCATCACCGCTCCGTGCTTCTATCCTCAGGATATTGAAATCCTTCTCCTCCACGCCGCAGCCCCCTCCGGGCTGGACAGGCAACTTTATCTCATGCGGGCTGCTCCCTTGGAGCGGCACCGCTGCTCCCGAGGGAGCGCACCCCGTAGCCGGGTGCAGTGAGTGCCTTGGAGCTGGGTGGCCTGTTTTCTGGACGGGCTCAGCCCCGGCGACTCACTAGGGTGCCTGCCCAGACCAATGTCTCCCCCTTTATCCTATCATCCTCCCGGCTCTGAAAAAGTCCCATTGGACCGAAAGGGCCTAACCCAACAAAAAAAAAGTGCTCTCACCCCTGTTTTCCGTGGATGCTGTAGCTGGCATGAGCGGTCTGAAGCAGAGCTGCCAGCCGGGCTGGTAGCCAGGTAGGGATCCAGGGCCCTCCCAGCCAGACGGCCTGTGGCGAGAACATGTGTAGTGTGTACGATAGATAGGTCAGCGCCCGCTCAAGAGTTGGCCACAGGTGTGCGATGTGGGGATGGGTGAGAGGGAGAGGTTAACAATTATACGTGCGGTGGTAGGCAAGTTTAATACACAGAGATGCTCTTTGCTCACAGCAATAAACGATGCACCGTCCACTGACGAAATCGGAAGTGTAACAATTAAAGAGAATCTTACATTTATAAGTGCAACACTACATAAATAATCGGAATTCAAAACCAACAACGCTGATTCAAGAGAATCTTACGTTTATAAGTGCAACTGTACATACATAATCGGAATTCAAAACCAACAACGCTGAAGAATCTTATGTCTATAAGTGCAACTCTACATGAATATAATCGGAATTCAAAACCAACAACGCTGAGTGAGTGAATATGGAGATCATAACACTACCAAACCGACAATACCCATCTAAAACACGTAGCAGTAACACCGTCCTCACAGCAGACACCATTCACCAATCGACAACTCGGCGACACTCACCGCCAGAACGTAGTAGAGCAGGAGGGTGACGATTGCTGTCCTCGTCTCAGCCACCTTGAAGTAGGTGCTGGACACCATGGTGAACCGTCAGATGGCACGTGGACGAAGCAGGCAGGACGCCGGCACCCGTCGAATATGGAGTTCAGGGCTGAAAATAGGTCGATTGTCGGTCAGAGATGATTATGGCACACATACGATTACATTCCGAGGAGCTAACAGCGAACACGTAGCTTTAATGGGCTATAACGGTGCTTCCATAGTGCTTACCGCAAGGCTAGCACTGCTTATCTTCTTCCCGAGGTTCATGCCTCGGTAAGATTTTGCCAAATGGCTTAAAGGGACCCTCCCACCTTCAAAAAAGTTAATGAATTGGCATGAAAGTGATGTAGCTCGGTTCAGAAAGAGCAAAAACGAATATCTACCAAATTTCATCGAAAAATATTCACCGGTTTTCAAGATATTAGACTTTTACTTTTGTTTACTTTTTGGGATCTCCGCTGTTCCTAGCGACTTTATTTGAAAGTGCGGTATTTGTTGCGCGCAAAGCAGCATATACCACCGCATGCTACGAAACGTTTTAGTCAAACATTTAACGGACGTTCGAAAGCCTGATGACGTCATCAGACTCCCGTAATGGTTAAGAGATAGGGACCACGCTGGTCCCACCCTGCAAGTAAAGGGAAGAAATTTCTTGAACACCATAAAGCTGCGGGGGTTGCGACCAGGATAAATGGTGGTTTCTGAGCCTGGCCGCAAACTTGGCTATCTCAACTCAAAACTAATGTTAAGGTGGGAGGGTCCCTTTAAATAGCGATCACGACATTCAATGCCTCCATGAATTCCATCTTAGCGAGGGTTTAGAAAGTGTCACTAGAGAGCTGACAGAACTTGCATGCACTCAGCAAATATTTTGGGCCTAAGAAGCTCTAGTTATATGTCCTATTCAAAATTTTGTATAATGAATTCGCATTTACACTGAGCATATCCATAGGCGGCGGAACGGGGTGGCACCGGGGCACCGTGCCCCCTTTGATTTTGACATTTTAACATTAGCCCTATGGGCGTTGCATGGAAAGAATGGGACCAAAAGTCGGCAGTGCCCCCCCCCCCCCGAAGGTGTTCCGCCGCCACTGAGCATATCTACCATTTGAACAAATTCAACATTAAAAAACGATCTATTTTTATGACATATCACATCTCACTGATAATGTCCGTGAAGTTAGCGTCAGCAACAGCAACGAATACAGCGTCGGATTCAGAATCGCTTAAAAAACTCATATTAGGTCAATTGGGGGACGGGGAGCAAGAATATGACCTTTATTTGGCCCTAGCTCTTACCCCTTACCCCTTAATCGGCCCTTAAAGGAAGGGGCGCGTCAAAAGTGCCTCAAGGGTTCGTCTGATCGCCAAAATAAGGGTCGCAATCGATTCCCCGGGTCAATATCTAGCCGCAGCCTCGGGTTGCAGATGTGTGCAACTTACCCCTTACCCCTTAATCGGCCCTTAAAGGAAGGGGCGCGTCAAAAGTGCCTCAAGGGTTCGTCTGATCGCCAAAATAAGGGTCGCAATCGATTCCTAGGGTCAATATCTAGCCGCAGCCTCGGGTTCCAGATGTGTGCAACTTACCCCTTACCCCTTAATCGGCCCTTAAAGGAAGGGGCGCGTCAAAAGTGCCTCAAGGGTTCCTCTGATCGCCAAAATAAGGGTCGCAATCGATTCCTCGGGTCAATATCTAGCCGCAGCCTCGGGTTCCAGATGTGTGCAACTTACCCCTTACCCCTTAATCGGCCCTTAAAGGAAGGGGCGCGTCAAAAGTGCCTCAAGGGTTCGTCTGATCGCCAAAATAAGGGTCGCAATCGATTCCTCGGGTCAATATCTAGCCGCAGCCTCGGGTTCCAGATGTGTGCAACTTACCCCTTACCCCTTAATCGGCCCTTAAAGGAAGGGGCGCGTCAAAAGTGCCTCAAGGGTTCGTCTGATCGCCAAAATAAGGGTCGCAATCGATTCTTCGGGTCAATATCTAGCCG